GCCCCGAGGTGGCCGAGGGAAGGAGTAACGTGCCCGCTGCCATTGTGGTCGGACGGAGCCCTCGTCATTTCTGTCACCTCTGAGTCACAGCGGTGACGATGGGACGGCTGGGGAGGGTGGGGACGGTCACACATGGACCCAGCTCCGAGGGGCAGCGCGGAGGGTTTTGGGGGCTCCAGGGCAGCAGCAAAGCAGTGTCCCCACGTGCCCAGCCTGCCAAGCACGAAGGGGTCCCCATCCTGGTCCCCCCGTCCCCCTGCTCGGCTGGCGGTGCCTCCCGGGGGCTCTACGCCCTCCTCACACACTTCCTGCCGTCTGTTTCCAATTCCTCCTGGCGTCTGCTCCTCCCTGCTTTCTTCCAATTAGGAAAAAAAAAATCCCAGGCATCTTCTCAGCGCGCTGCTCGCAGAGGCTGGAGCTGCCGTGCCCCACTTGGGAGGGCTGGGGCTGCACGGGGAGGGGCAGAGCGTGCCCGTGGTGCCCATTCATGTGGGGCACACAGGGATCATCCTGAGGGATTTCTGTGCCCAGGTCTTTCTCCTGAGGGTCTCTCTGCTCCGGGAATGGGTCTGGGGCTGTGGGGAGCTCAGAGGGGCCTGAAGATGTGCCCTGTGTGGAATGATACCCTGCATGGAGCCAATTCCCAGGAGAGCCAAGCAGGCTGGTGGGCACAGGGTCACATTTTGCAGCTTGCTGGGATGAAATCTGGTGCCCCACCCACGTCCTCGAAGCCTGACCGCGTCCCTCTCTCCTCTCCCCTAGGAGTGACCCATCCGTGACGCCGGCGGGATCCCGGCTGCGGAGCCCCACCTGCGAGCGCCAGGCACGGGACCCGGCGCGGCACAGCCTCCCCTGGGTGCCACCATGCCGATCCTCAAGCAGCTCGTGTCCAACTCGGCGCACTCCAAGCGCCGCTCGCGGGCCGACCTGACGGCCGAGATGATCAGCGCACCCCTGGGAGACTTCCGCCACACCATGCACGTGGGGCGCGCCGGGGACGCCTTCGGGGACACCTCCTTCCTCACCAGCAAGGCCGGGGAGCCGGTGCCGGAGGCGGGAGAGGAGCCGGGCGCCTCCAAGCCCGGCCTGCTGTCCCGCCGCTTCCGCAGCAGCAAGCGCTCGCAGTCGGTGACGCGCGGCGACCGGCGGGACATGCTGGGCTCGCTGCGGGACTCGGCGCTCTTCGTCAAGAACGCCGTGTCCCTGCCCCAGCTCAACGAGAAGGACGCGGACAGGAGCGCGGGGCAGCTGCCCAAGAGCCTCTCCTCCAGCCCCGTGAAGAAGCTGCCCGAGGAGATGAGCCCCGAAGAGCAGCAGCGCCCGAACGGGGCAGCCGCGGGGCCGCTGAGCCCCGGCTTGGACGAGCGCGACTTCGGGGACATCACAGACCTGCCCGTGGTGGTGGCCAAGGGCGGCGCGGGCTTGAAGCACGCCGAGTCCATCATGTCCTTCCACATCGACCTGGGGCCCTCCATGCTCGGGGACGTGCTGAGCATCATGGATAAGGATCAATGGGAGCCGGACAAAGATCCCGAGGCAGAGGAGAGCCGCGAGGAGGAGGAGGAGGAGGAGGAGGAAGAGGAGCCTGCCCCGCCTGGCTCCCCGCTGGTGGCCGCGGCGGCCCTGCCGAGCCAGAGCCCGGCCCGTGGCGCCGGTGGCCGCAGCCCCAGGGACAGCAGTTCCGTGTCCAGCTGCACCTCGGGGCCCGAGGAGCGCAGCCCCGTCCCCCGGCCACCGAGCCAGCGCGGGGGGCCCCTGAAACGCCCCGACAAGGAGTTCTCGTTCGCCGACGAGGATGACGACGAGATCCGGGTATAAAGGAGGGCCGAGCCGAGGGTCTGGTTCTCACTGCAGTGGCCTGGACACAGGGCTGAACACCCCAACTGGTGGCACTGGGGAAGACTCAACTCCTGCCTCGGTCCCTCTCTGTGCTGCAGCAGGACAGCGCTCTGCTCCCGGGGCCGGGGCCATTCCTGACAGCCCCAGCCAGCTCCAGCACTTCCTGGGAGGGGGAAGCAGACTCGATTTCGGTTCTTTCTGTTGGACTTTGGATATTAGCTCCTTTCTCCTGCCCCCCCTGCCCGTGTAAAGTGATTTAGGATCCAACGAGACGAGCCTTTGGAGTTTTAGCCCTTTTAGTAATATATATATATTTTCCGCCGTACAGTTTTTACTGTTTTCTGATTTGTACTTACCTTTCTCTACTCTCTTTTGGTTTTAACTGAGGGAAGATTTCCCATGAGGAAGAACTTTGCTCTGGAGCTGAGAGGTGGCCTGGGACTATGGGCAGCTCCAGCTTCCTGGGTTTCCTGGGGACTTTCTGCAGGCCAAGAGCCTCCCAGTGCCGTGGCAGGTGCTTGCTCCCCATCCCTCGGATGGAAAGATGGAAGGATGGATGGTTCCATCCCAGATGCTTGACTCTCCAACCAGCCTGGGGGTCACAGGCATGCTCCCAGCCAGCTCTAGGCATGCTGATGGAAGTGCAGGTCTGTCCCCTGTGGGAGGAGCTCCTGGAAGCTGCTGGAGCCGGGGAATTCCGGTGTCCCGGTGGGGCCGGGCAGTGCCGGGAGCAGGCGGCTGGAACAGGAGGTTTTATACCGTCTATGTACAAATACAAGGAATAAAAGGAAATGGTAGTGACCGCAGTGGCCTGAGTTCCTGAGGGGTGACACGTGGCGGGGAGCTGCTGCCCAAGCAGGAGCAGTGTCCCTGTGCTGCCACCAGCCCTGTCCTGCTGCCCATCGCTGGCCCTGCTCCTGGCCGCAGTGGGGCACCTGCCGTGGCCCAGCTCTCTGTGCCGTTGCCTGAGGAAGCGGGAGAGCTCCTGCTGGCCGGATCTGGCTCGGGGCTGGGACCCTCAGGCCAGGTGGCTCCTGCCAAGGGCTGGCCCTGCCAACGCTGCCCTCTCCTCCCCCAGCCCTGCTGCCTCCAGCCTGGGAGGAGGGGACGGTGCTGGGGGGCAGGACTGGCTGTCCCTGCTCCCACGGGCTGGGGGACAAGGCGTGCCCTGGGGGCTCCCGGCCCTGCAGGGCTGCTGTGGCCCTGGATGATCCCAGCAGAGCATCAGAGCAGTCTGATCACACAGCCAGCTTCCCACAGCTCAGCCACTGGGGAAATGGGGCTTTGCCAGTGCTGGGAGGGACTTCCCGCTCCAGCCCCTGGGATGGAGCTGGGCTGAGATGGGGCAAAGTGCCAGGAATGGCCCCACAGCCTTTCCCTGAGCGCTGGCCTCCTCACTGGAGAGAGGGAATGATTTATCTCCCCAAACATCTCCCAGCCCTGGGAGGGGCTGGATGCCCCTGTCCACCCCAATGGATCTCCCTGGAGATGCCAGGGGAGCGGGCAAATGCTGTGCCACAGTGGGCACACAATGGGGTCCTGTCCTGTCACCCTGGGCAGGGGACATTGGGCCATTGTCTGGGACAGGGAGAACAACAGCAGCTGCAGCGGGAGGCTCTGAGCTCACAGGCTGCCTCTGCCCTGGTCACTGTGCCCCCCTGCCCTGTGCCAGGGTCCCATGGCCCATCCCCTGAGCCAGTGATCCTGGTCACTGTCACCTGGGAGGTCACCAGACTGCTGGGGGACAGCCGGCTCCTCTTGTCCCTTAGGGATGCTCTGGCACAAAGCAGTGAGCTGCGGTCCCTGGGCTTTGCCCGCTTTTCCCCCCGGGGCTGCGGGGTGGGGAGAAGCCCTGGGGTGACACTTCACGGGCCGCCTGCCACTGTCACTTGGCCGCCCTGATCTTTGTGACGCCTGTCGGCTCCAGGCTCGGCTCGGCAGCACCGCGGTGCCTGGAGCTGATGGGGCAGAAAGCGCGAGCGGGGCTGCGGGGCACAGCCGGGACACGGCCCCGCTGCACGGACAGGGCAGCCTGCAACACCGGCAGGGAGCGGGCACAGGGACACTGCCACGTGTCCTGGGCAGTGGGGAGTGACACCAGCACCGCCCGTGTCCGGCCAGCGCCGGGAGCAGGCTGCACCCCAGCGTCCCCAAGCCCCGTGGTGGCACAGTGACATCTGTCACACCCCCGGGGTGGCACCTGGGCTGTGCCACACGGCTGATGGGTGCCCAGCGCCCTGCAGCACCCACGGGCAGCGCTGTGGCACTGCTGGTCCAGTGCTTTGATGCCAAGTGACAGAATGGGAGCAGGGCTCCATGGGCTGTGTCAGCCCCGGGCGCCGTGGGCGCTGAGCGAGGCCGCGGGATGGAGCAGGGATGGAGCATTGGGATAAATCCAGGGCTCTGCTCCAGGTGGGCTCCAGGAAACCCATGGAGCCCTGGTCATGCCCAGAATATGCCACTGGAGCCTGGCACCCATGAAAGTGGGCATAGAAGGGGATTCTGGGCAGCCCAGTGGAAGTGGCCCTGCCTGTGGATGGAACAGGAAGGGCTGTAAAGACCACTTCACAAGAAACCATTCTGTGATTTGCTAGGATGCAAGGTGTGACTCCTTCCAGGAGCTCAGGGATGTGGATCTGTTTTGCCAGGTGCTGGAGAGCAGGCCTGGGGCTGGTGCTGCTGTGCCCAGAGCACCCCAAAACACACCCAGCATCCACCCCGTGCTATTGGAATGCTCAATCCCAGCACTCCGGCCATATTTGTCTCCATTTAAGGCCTCAAAGTGAGGGGTTAACCCGGCTCCCAGCCAGCCCCAGACACATTTTCTGGAGGAGAAGCAGATGTGGGAGCGGGGAGGCTGAGAGGGGCTGGCTGGGGCCTGGGGCTGAGCTCCCCAGCTGCGGCACCAAGCAATCAGGGCTGCAAATTGGGATCAGATGTGGGCAACTCCCCCCTCTAAATGCAGCACTCCAGGGCTGCTTGGGCTGGTTCTGCTCTGCCTGAGGAGGAGGAGGAAGAGGAGGGTTCTGCTGGGGCCCAGGGTCGCTGTAAGGACCTCCAGAGTGTGGTGCTCCCTTTGGAGAGCTGTGTTTTCTTTGGGGAGTGTCCCTGCCTCTTCCCCTTCCCCTGCCAGGCTGGAGCAGGCTCTTCCCGCAGCAGGGATGATGCAGGAGCTGGTGGCTGGCGTGGAGAAGATCAGGTTTGACTCAGAGGCTGATGTGGAGGGGCTCAGAGCTCAACCCCTGCCCTTCCCAGGGATGGACAGTAAGTTGGGGACAGGGCTGTGGCATTTTTGGAGGGTGGCAGGGCTGCAGGATTCTTTGGGGTTCTCCTTTTGCTGCCCTCCTGCAACACCTGGGTTGTTTTTGTC